AATAAAATGTCCTGACTAACATTGCCAAACCAGTGTTACCTCATAGACTAGGTACCATATAGTGCTCAAAATGTCATACACATACATACACAACTATTTAGAAAAAATTGAAAATAAACATGCAAAATGGCTCCTACACTAATAATTATTTGCAGCATTCAGTGTTGTCACTAATTCAAACATGTCCTCTTAGTAAGAAGCACAAGGTTTTTATGATTATCAGAACATCAACCATGTCAACAGGAACCTGAGACAAAGGAAGGCACGATGGAGGAGTTTGTGTTTGAGATCTGAGAGCCTACGAGGCTTTATAGACAGTTAATAACATCACGGGCATAAACAAGATTCAGACCATATCAGTGACCTTTTGGACAGCAGTAAGTCTTGCTGCCATAACCTCAGTCACAGAAATGGCTCAGGTACTTTTTATGACCCCTCTTTTGATCTCTGTTGGTTAGCTGGGAATTGATGGTTTTTAACTTCTTTACTTCAAAGTTATTTTGTAACATTGATAGTGCTTATGCTCACAGGTGCAGATATTGTAACAGTGTCAAGGCACCTTATGACCTCCATACATTTGATCATGTATGTGCTGTTTTACTCTTTCAATATTTCAAGATTCCCCCATAACATTTCAAAGACCAACAGGTGTCTCTGTGGGATCCTGTATGTGGTGGAAACGCAGGGAGTTATTGTGACAGCGGCAAGGTCCCCTTTGAACTCATGTGCATGTACAGTTTCACAGTTTCAAGATCCCCTAAAATCACCATTTTCCCTGAGCTGACCCACACTGAATATGGATATAGAGGTAATAGATACGGGTCAAATTTGACCTGGAACAGACAGACATCATCAGATTTCAGGCTGAAAGAATGACATTTAGGGTATTTTTACTGCTGTCAAATGAACGGGTCAAATATGACCTGAGCACTATGTAAGGGTTACATAAGAGAACAGGATTGCTAGGGAGAATCTGACAGTCTAGACAATGAAGGAGTGAACTAACTCCAGAAGCTGACACAGCCATCATCATAAGTCCATCCTCACCTCCTATTAATGCTTCTTGACTGCAGTTCTTGCTTTTATCTTTATTTATATAAATATATCTCATCCTATGTTTATTGTTATGCACCTGAATCTGAAGAGGGCAGTAATGCAACACCAAGGACGCAAGTTGCCGTTTGTTAAACCTAGAAAAAGAAGAAGAAGAAAAATAAAAAAGAGAAGGAGGAGCAAGAAGGAAAAGAGGCGGGTCTTTGTTTGACTAGCGTCGGTGTACACCAATCACACGCTTCCTCTTGCAACAATTCTAGCCAATGGGAGCCTTCGGTGTGTGGCGTGCCGACCAATCAGATTCGTGAAGGGGAGCTTTTTGAAAACGTTGGCGGCCGCGGAAGTTCAAAATAGTAACACTGGACTTTCTTCGCTAAAACATCCATACTACAAATACTCACCACGATGCAGGTACGTTTGGTTTCATAATGTTTGATAGTGAAATAAGACGGGTGAGGATTCATCTTAAGCGCGTATTATATAGACACAGACTGAAGCTAACAGGCTAACGTTAACGTTGTTTTTTACCTCTCTGAGCTCGCTTAGCATACCGCCGCGTTATCGACAATTCAGTAGTAACACACAGTATAACATACGTATACAACAAATGATATACATTAGCAGGGGTTATTTAAACCACAGTGACCTGTGGGGTAGTAGTTATGTCCCTGTGTTGGACCCAAACAGTGGCCTTGTGTTACTGAACCTTTTATCGTGTCTTAATGGAGAATAAGCTAAACCTGCTAACAGGAAGCTCTTCACGCTGATTTTAAAACACGACAATCTTGTGGTGTTACTGTATGGTTAATTTAACTTTCACACGGTTGTGAAACATACATAGCAGACATTTTTTAAATATGGTGCTGAAATTGTAGCCGACCCAAAGGAACACTGGTCTTTGTAGTACAACAGTGCAGATCGATTGGGAGAGCTGTTGATCTAATCGATTATATCTTTAATTATATAGGCCTTTTGGAAGCTGTGAGTAAGATCTTAAAGCAGGTTAGATACCACGAATACACCCCACATGTCATAACAAACAACTACTGGTGCATTCAAGTGAAAGTCAAAGTAAAGGTGGAGCCCAGTTGAGTGTTAACACTGCTCCCTCAGTTGTCTGTCATTGTTCTGGTTGAAGTATGGTGTCACAAAAGTGTCTCTGCACCAGTTAATCCCGTTTTATTTTGCAAACTACTCTTTAAGTATTGTCTAAGTTAACAAACAGAAGAAACTACACAGAAGCTCAAATGTACTACATGTTAATGTAAGCTGTTTTATTCCGTTTCTTTCTTTACAGAATAAAGAAAATTATGAGCCCAAAGGTTTCCAACGAACGGTAAGATGTAGTATTTTTTTCCCACTGCTTTTAAGGCAACACTTTTTATTACCAGAAGTTGTAATCAGAATGCCACAGTTGGCTGGTATGAAAATATTGGACACCAGTTTTGGTTTAAAAGAATAAAAAAAACATATCAATGCATTTCTAACTCTGTTTCTTCTGAATACCAGTTCACCACTCCTAGCATGGTGGCAAACCCACAGCGAGTTCAAGTGAAGCCACGAGCAGAGATGGACAGAAATGCCATCACAGGTAATATTACCGTCCTCATATACATACAGCCGTCAGAAACCTCAGGAAATGCCTCTGTATTTATTATTTTAATCATTTTTAGGCCCTGGAAGGGAGTGTGTTGCCTCGTCCTCCAGTTCAGCCTCAAAGTAAGTATATTCCATTACGTCTTGAGTTGTGTATTGGATTCAGGTTCTGTTTTTTCTCAACATCTAAGTGATGGCCTCTATCATTTGAATAGTTAACATGTGAATATCCACCTTTGTGCTCCCCCTCAGGAAGGTCACCATTGATGACTTTGACATTGGACGACCACTAGGGAAGGGAAAGTTTGGTAATGTCTACCTTGCGAGGGTTAAGAAGCTGCAAGCCATCGTGGCGCTGAAGGTGTTGTTCAAGTCACAGATGGAAAAGGAGGGTGTGGAGCATCAGCTCAGGAGGGAGATTGAGATTCAGGCACATCTCAAGTGAGTATCCTGACAAACCATTCATAGTCCCAACAATACATTGGCTTTCCTCAAACTTACTGGGTAGTTAGGGCCACTTGATGGACTTAATTCTGTGCAAAATACCCCTCAGTTCAACTTCTGACTCCCTCACAGTTTCACACCATCTACTGACGATTACAGGAACCAAACACTCACCAATTGTTTATAGGTTCAATGCGCTTTGAGTTTAATGGAAAAGGTTTGTTTGTCCTAAACTTTTTGTGTATTTTGATCTGGAAAACACCTTCAATACAACTTTGCAACATCATTTTTATCCTTCCTACAAACTTTGTATTATGGTATATGCCCAAATAAGAATTTTGTTCATTTGGAAACGCAGTCTAAACGCTGCCTCAAAATATATAATCCGTTTTCTCCTCAGGCACCCCAACATCTTGCGCTTCTACAATTATTTTCATGACCGAAAGAGGGTGTTCTTGGTACTTGAGTACGCCCCACGTGGTGAAATGTACAAGGAGCTACAGAGATGTGGAAGATTTGATGACCAGCGTACTGCCACAGTAAGAGTTGTTGCTGCTTTTAAAATACAGAGCTTTTTGTTTGTGCTATTATTGTTTTAGTCAGTGAGCCTTGATCTTGTTCTTGTTGTGAATCAAATGCCAACCTCTTTACATTTCCCAGTACATGGAGGAGATATCCGATGCACTGCTCTATTGCCATGAGAAGAAAGTGATTCACCGTGACATCAAGCCAGAGAATCTGCTTCTCGGCTATCGTGGAGAGCTGAAAATTGCCGATTTTGGTTGGTCCGTCCATGCACCTTCTCTAAGGTGAGGAACCGCAGTGCTATTAAGGTTTTGTCAGAACCTGCTGGATACTGCTGTATCATTTCACATCATGAATCTGCTTTCCCTGCTCACATCTGTGTTTTAAACCTATCCAGACGTCGTACAATGTGCGGGACACTGGACTACCTCCCTCCAGAGATGATTGAGGGCCACACACACAGTGAGAAGGTGGACCTGTGGTGCATCGGGGTCCTCTGCTACGAATGCTTGGTCGGCAACCCACCTTTTGAAACTGCCAGCCATTCAGATACATACAAAAGAATTATGAAGGTTGGTGTTGGGTGTCTAATATATCCAAGTGGACAAATTTGAATATTTTTTGCGAAAGTTTGGGGAAAATATCTGGCAGAACCCACTTTTATTCTGCAGTACATGAGAATTGTGTAAATAGAATGAGCACATTAATGTTCCTTCTAAAAGAAAGTGTCATGAATGTGTAGGTGGTGAATAGTATTGAGGACATGTTCTAACTCTTTCTATACTGAATTTGCCTTTGATAAATACCATACAATAAAATCCCTGTTAACATATGAATGGATTCTGTCCACAGAAATGCAAAGAGCTTTTAATCTGAAACATTATTTTTCTTTTTCCGTGTCTGTGACATATTCTACAGATATAGATATTGAAACTGTAGTGAAAGGTGTATATGTTGCTGGGATTATGTCGATATGACTGAACAGATCATTTTCACGTGGCTCGTGGGAAAAAATAGGCGAAAAACTCAACTCTCTAGTAAAGCGTTGCTGCAGCCGAGAACGTGACCGATCTAATGTATTAACATGGGCGCCAAAATAAAAAGCAAGACCGTAAGCCCTAAGAAGCCAAACTTACTTGGAAGATAAAATTAAGGTAAATAGTGGAAATTTTGCCCACATTATCCACTAAAAGGTCTGGGCTATAAATAACTCATTATCAATTCATTTAAAAACATTTGGCAGCCAACCTGTTTGGGGATTCCAAACAAGTTCAAACATTTGGTCTTAATGCTTTATCCAGACAGGCTTTTTGAATTATGACATCAGTACTGGGACATTATATATTGGTTATCAATCAATTAAAGGTATTAATACAATCTACAGATAAACTTTTCTACTGCACTAGTCATTGATTTAATAAATACATGCTCTCTTTCTGTCTGCAGGTGGATTTAAAGTTCCCCAAAAACATCTCAGATGGTGCACGGGACCTGGTCTCCAAGCTGCTCCGCCACAACCCCACAGATCGTCTCTCACTACAGAGTGTCATTGACCACCCGTGGGTGCGCTCCAACTCTCGTCGAGTCCTACCACCAATCTGCCCGACCAAGAATTCCTGAGCCCACCTGCCCCACCTGCCTGCCCCCCCCACTGTGGGGTGTTTTATCTGCCCTTTCCAACAGACTCTGGGCCAGCATATTTCAGTTTCACTGCTACGGGCTTTAAACTGCCATTATTCTGGCACATTTTATGATGGGTATATATACATACCCACTTTTTTATATTGTACAGTGTACTGTCATTATCAATGTCTAGTATGTAGCCTGAAGGTGTTTTGTGTTTTTATTATCATTTCTTTTCTGATTCTTTTTAAAATGGACACTGCTCTATTTTGGATTTCTGTATCTGCCGGTGTTGGCACCAAAGTACTACTGTTAGACTGCTGCCTCAAGCTGATGAGTATATTGCAAATAGTTCAAGATATGGTGTTTGAGGGTTGGGGTGGAAAGCATGTTTTATTTTCCCCTCAAGCTATACTTTAAATTTCTAATAAATATTATAAAATTATTTGTGTGCCTCCCAATGAATGATTATGTAAAGGTTGTGGACACCAAACATTATATAAGATTAAGACTTCATAACTTTGGAATGCCTCATCAAATACACTCGGCAGACATTTTATTTAGGTACAGGTAACTACAACTACTGCAGGCTGTAGTTTGTGATGCTGTTTATTTAGACAAGCTTTTTATAAATATTTTCCCACTCTATATCGGTGAGGACAACAACTTGAAACAGTTGACCATTGTTGCATTCATAAATTAAATTAAATGTGTGTCCGTCCGGAGGTATAAAGTTAATGTTACTTTAAATCAATGTACAATACGTCCACAAGTCATTTGACCTTTACAAAGCTACTTGACCGCAGCGTTGTCTCACGGTAGCGTGGCCGAGCGGTCTAAG